AAATAATAGATGGATCATCTTCATTTACTTCTACGACTACTTTGGGTAGTCTAACAGAAAAACAAGAAGTAATAGATGAGTCATCTTCGGTTCCTTCTACTTCTATTGTAGATGAGATAACAGAAAGAGAAGAAATAATAGATGGATCATCTTCATTTACTTCTACGACTACTTTGGGTAGTCTAACAGAAAAACAAGAAGTAATAGATGAGTCATCTTCGGTTCCTTCTATGTCTACTGCGGATGACATAACAGAAAGAAAAGAAGTAGTAGATGGATCATCTTCAATTCCTTCTACGACTACTTTGGGTAGTCTAACAGAAAGACAAGAAGTAATAGATGAGTCGTCTTCGGTTCCTTCTTCTTCTCTTGCGGATGACATAACAGAAAGAGAAGAAGTAATAGATGGATCACCTTCATTTCCTTCTAATTTTACTGCAGACAACTTAGCAGAAAAACAAAATATAATAGATGAGTCACATTCAGTTCCTTCTATTTCTACTGTGGAAAACCTAACAGAAATACAAGAAATAACAGATGAGTCATCCTCAGTTACTCCTATTTCTACTTTAGATAATCTAACAGAAAGAAAAGAAATAGTACATGGGTCATCTACAGCTACTTTTACTTCTACTGTGGATAATCTAGCAGAAAAACAAGAAGTGATACATGGGGCACCTTCAGTTCCTTCTATTTCTACTGTGGAAAACCTAACAGAAATACAAGAAATAACAGATGAATCATCCTCAGTTACTCCTATTTCTACTTTAGATAATCTAACAGAAAGAAAAGAAATAGTACATGGTTCATCTACAGCTACTTTTACTTCTACTGTGGATAACCTAGCAGAAAAACAAGAAGTGATAGATGGGTTACCTTCAGTTCCTTCTACTTCTGCTGTGGATTATACAACAGAAAGAGAAGAGATAATAGATGGACCATCTTCAGTTTCTCCTGTGAATCTAACAAGAACACAAGAAGTAATAGATGAACCATCTTCTGATTCTTCAACAGTTATTGGTGATAACCTACCACAAAGACAAGAAACAATTGATAGACAACCTATAATTCGTCCTACCTCTAATGTGGGTACCTTAGAAAAACAAGAGTCGACAGAGACACCTACTACAACACACTTTGTTTTTTATACCTTGAATGACTTAACAGAAACACAAGAAATAACGGATGGTTCACTTACAGTACTTCCTACATCTAATGCAGTTAACTTAACAGAAAGACCAGAAACGTCTGAAGAACATGATGCTGTTTCTACTTTGGATATCATATCTGAAAAACTAAAAATGACAGATAGAGATTCTGCAGTCCTTGCAGCCCTTACTGTAAAAGGCCAGACAGAAAGGCAAGCTACATCAGATGAATTAACCACAGTTCCTATAGCTCTTACTGGACATGAACAAACAGAAAGACAAAAAACGCCAAGTGAATCAAGTACCGTTCCTCAAGATTTTACCGTGGATGAACAAACGGAAAGACAAGAAACGCCAAGTGAATCAAGTACAGTTCACACTTTTTTAATTATAAATGGTCAAACAGAAAGCCTAGAAACATCAAATGAATCAACTATAGTTCCTCAAGATTTTACTGTGGATGAACAAACGGAAATACAAGAAACATCATATGAACCAACCACAGCTCGACCAAGTAAAGTTCCTGAAGATTTTACCGTAGATGATCAAAAACAAAGACAAGAAACTTCAGATGGGCCAGTGACACTCCCTACTGATTTTGCTAAAGGTCACCAAACGGAAAGGCAAGAAATATCAGATGACTCAAGCACAGATTCTGTAGCTATTATTGTAGATAATGACACACAAAGACAAGAAACGTCAGATCCACCAACTACAGTTTCTTTTACTGTATATGACAAACCAGAAAGACGAGAAATGTCAAAAGAATCAACTACAGTTCCTGAATATTTTACTGTGAGTCAACAAACAGAAAGACAAGAAACGTCAAATAATTCAACTACAGTTCTTAAAGGTTTTACTACAGATGAGCAAACAGAGATACAAGAAACGTCAGATGGACCAACCCAAGTTTCTTCTACCTTTGTTGTGAATAACTTAACAAAAAGAACAGAAATATCAAGTGGAATAACCAAAACTTTCATTGATGAAACTGAAAATGATTTACCGGGAAGACGTCATATATCAGACGAAAAAACTTTTGCCTCTACTGAGGATGATATTATTGAGAGACAAGAAATATTAGGTGGAACAACTGCAGTTTTTTCTGCCTATACTACAGATGACCAAAAAGAAGAAGAATGGGGACAGCATGGAACAACTAAGCTTTATTCCCTTTCTACTGTAGCTGATCTTACTGCAAGACAAGAAGCAATAGATGGAACAACTGCGGTTCCTTCTACCTCTGCTGTAGATGACCGAACAGGAATACAAGAGACATTACTGGAAGCAACCACATTTCCTTCTAATGTCACTGTGGATGATCTAGCAAAAAAAGAAAAAAATATTAATGTAACAACTACAGTTGTTTCTGTTTCTAATATGGATTCTTTAATAGAAAGACAACAAATATTAAATGAATCATCTGTATCGGAAGATGAACAACAAGAAAATCAGAACAAGTCAAATGATCAAACTGATGCTTTTACAGAAGAAGAACGAATAGTAAAACAAGAGACTCCTCAAGATTTTACCACAGTTCCTTTAACGTCTACCATCATTGAAGTAAGAGATGGTGTAGAAACGGCTGATATATCAAATTTAGCCACTTCTGCATCCACTGTGTCTGAAGGACATAAAACCACACATGTAAGGACAACATTAATCTCTGCCACTAACGAAGTTAGTCTAACAGAAATACAAGAAAATGAAAATGGAACAATATCATCACTTTCTCTTTTCTCTGAGGATAAACAAATTGGTCAAAATACAACATAGACTTTTCTGTCTCTTCACAGCATGAATTAAACAGAAACGAGGAAACACCAAAAATACATTTCCTTTTACATCTGCTGTTGGCGAATTAATTGAAAGACCAGAAAATGTAAAGAAACCAGTTACAGTACCTTATCTTGGTAAAGAAAAACAGGAAAGATAGGATCATCGTCATCTTTATTATTTTCTACTTCTTTTTCTTATAAACTTCCTGAAATGCGAAAACCCAATAATATAACTGGTTCTACGTACTCTAAGAATGAAAGTAAAGAATGACAGGATTCCAAAATAGTAGTCATGTCTTGTTGTTTTTTATGTCTTTACAGAAGGTTGTCTTACAGAAAGACAAATAACAAACAAGGAATTAGACTTCAGACACTTTTTTCTACTCTAGCAGATTTACTCAAAAGTCTTTATGGTGTGGTCAATTGCAATTTCCTTTGTTTCTACTGAGAAATAATGTAGCAGGAAGAAAGGGAATTACTGAAAGTCCAAGTACAGTTTACCCTATCTTTTCTGAATATGAATTAGAATAAACAAATTACAACTTTTGATTCTACTAATGTTATCTATACCTCTACTATTGATGAAATAACAGAAAGAGAAAAAACTACAGAAGATATAACAACAACAAAAAATATGTTTCGTCTGAGGCTCTCATTGGACAAACGCAAGTATTATACAGAAACCAAAAACTTTTACATCTATCACTAGTGAGGGGAAAAGACAGGAACAACAACAGTCACTTCAGATTGTATTCCAATTGATTCTAAAGAAGATACAGAAACTAACTGGTATCCTGACTATAAACTAACTGGTGAATAATTAACGCCAAGAGACGTTTGTTTTCAAAACCGTCTATTTCAACTACTCAATACAGTTCTTATCTTACTGCCGAGGATGAAGTAGAAAAAACTACAAAGTTACCACTTACATTTCCATCTATAATTACCTACCGAAAATACGAGAAATATTTAGTGCAATTGATCCAATAACGGAAAGGACAATAAAACAAATTGCGTATCCTACAATAAAATTTGAATTAGAACAAGGCCCTATAAATAACGTTACTGCTAGTAATAATATACAGCTAAAGGGAAATGTAGATTTAGTGACCAACGAAATATAGAAAGTAATACAAAATCCATTCTTTCAAATAATGAAGCCATTCCTTGCGTCATTATATCTAGTAATTTCTAGTAAAATGTTAAACAGTATTCTGACGATTTTTTTCTAATTCGGTGAAGAAGCAAGAATTCGTGTTATTATCATGGTTTTCTGTGTAGTAGTGTAGTGTTTTCTAGCAATAATTTACAAGAAATATAATGTCTGTATACTAAAATATTATGACAGTATTCAGACATTTTATTTTCTGATTCAGTGAAGACACAAGTATTAATGTTATTATTATGATTTTCTGTGTAGTAGTATAGTTATTTTTCTAGCAATATTTACAAGAAACATAACGTATGGTTAATAAAATGCTGTGACAGTATTCCGACAATTTTTTTCTGATTCGGTGAAAACTCGTCAGATAAGTCATTTATGTTATTACAGTATTTTTTGTGTGACAGTATATAGTTTTTTTAGCAGTAATTTACAAGAAACTTAATGCTCATGTACATTGTGAACATAACGAAGATCAAATGCAGTATTTCAAACGTTGTTTCCTTTAAACAATCTGTGTGATAATTAAAACAGCAAAATAAAGTACACAAAAACCGTTTATTTACCTTTTGAACAGAAAAGATCGAGCCTTTTGAGCTATCTTACTCAAGAACAGAATACTATGAAAGTGCTGACTTCATGCAGACATGGATCTGTTCATATGATGTTTGCTTAGATAATATTTCAATAAGGTTTTTTTTTCATGTACTTACATTATGTCAGCCAATCAACCAGCGAGTAAAAGTCATGTTTCAATAAGAACTGAAATTTTAGTGTCTTATGTATGCCAAAATAGAATACCTGATAGTGTTGGTGTTGTTTGCCTTTATATATGCTAGTATTCGAGTATATGTCGTTATCTCAAGCAAGTTGATTTACTTTGTTTACATTGTTGCCCCTTAAATGTGTTCATGTTTTACTTTGAAACCTAAAAGCTTTGGAAAATAAACCAATAAAAAAAAAAGTTAAGTTTTCTGTGCCTCTTAAAAATCGTGAAATTGTTGCCAATATATACATAAGCTAATAATTTTAAGCAAGGTTTTGCATATATTTATCAACCACAGAGCAACACTCGAGTAGAATTAAAATACGGGACATTAACGATGTTCATGAAACAACAACTGAAATACTTAATCAAATAAACGAAATTTTGGCCCACGACTGAACTTATTGATTCTGCATAAATTCCAGAACATTAAAATGACATTCTCAACGTTGTTAACTTTGGTTCATGTTAAGATTCAAATGGTGGAAGCAAATATACAGAACAATATTTATTCCCAATTGTACGACCTCTAATGGCTCAGGGGTAAGCTTGAAGGCTTATATTGTTAAAAATCAGAGTTTAATACTTGCGGTGGGCACAGCGCAAATAACCCATTTTCGCTTAAGAATAAACGTAATTTGATATTTACCTTACGAAACTAAATCGTCTAAAAACATCAATTATGAAACCACATCCAGCAGAATATATTTTGCTACTTTTTATGTATCTCCTTTTCACGTCCTTTATTGGTGTTTATTTATTACTGTTTTTGTCTTTCGTTAATTAACGTTATTACTTAAGACATTTCTTCCCTTTAAGGTTAGGATTTAGCTTACCATAGTTAAAACGCGGATCTTCAGTTTTCCATAACTTATTGATGTGATGATTATTTAATAAGGAAACAAAATGACTGTATAACTGATAATCTATATTATATTTTAGCAGATACATTATCTAAAAAATCCATTGTACAATAATCAAATTTGTTTTCTTAAACGTCAAAATTAAAATCTGGTTTCACATTAGTAGTTATTCCCCCCACTCCTCCGCCCAAAGGATGCCACCTCACACTAATTAGCTGCCTCAGGGAGGGGGCGGAAGATGTTGCCATCAAAGACGATGTCATCATAGTTCTACAAATTGTCTCCACAAATTGTAAACAATGCTGTTAGGAACGCGTTGCTAGGCCGTCACGACAGGCGATCATAACGTCATAGTTCCATAACTTGTCACCAAAGGGCGCGGTCTTAGGGACACGTTGTTAGGCTGCCATGACATGCGGCTATGACGTCATAGTACCACGAAGTGGGACAAGCATAATATGTCTCAACATGACTATAATTAATACAATCAGTATAAAATACTAATTAATTAGTTAATTAATTTTCCAAACCATTTACATCATCCTAAAAGGGATGCTTATCACTAAATTATTAATTACATTTCCTGACCTAAAAGGACGATATCATAAGTAAATCTTACTGTTTGACTATTTAATTATAAAACCAGTGATTAAAAATTTTCAGAAACATGATTATAACAAAATATTCTGAACAAAATATTTATTTTTAACACTTTATTATTTTCACAATAAAGATTTTGTAATCTGATCTGCAAAAAAAGTCATGTCTATTAAGGACGTATTTACATGAAAACGTTTTACAACAAAATCATGAACAAACATATCATTGCTATCTTTGTGGGATCAAAATTTAGATAGGAGTTTTCGTTTCGACACATGTCAACAACGATAATAAGCAATATTGTCCACATACAGACGAACATACTCCTTGCAGTACTTTTTGTTTATAAATCGACAGTTCTTCTTGATGACTTTTCTTATGTTGAGATTACGTGGAGGTAATCCTAATGGATCAAAATATTTTCCTTTTTCATTTCGACCAAAATAAATACAGACTCAGTGGCTACCAGGTGTATGACATGGATCCAGGTTGACGATGTATAGTTGTTTTTCAGCATGGTCAGGTAGTTGATAACTGGCAAACACACCTCCAAACTTTTTTCTCGTACACAAATCTTGCGAGAGTATCAAATAAGTTTCTAATATGTACATAGCCTCTTAGATATCAGTTATGATGTTTCTAGACTGATCGATTTCTAAAATTGACTGAAGTTCTACATATGCTAGAACATTTATAGTGTTAGGTAAAGCACTGCCAAAACGTATTTCAATTCATAAATGTCCCTGTTTCACCAAGTTAAAGTGAAAATCTCTACCAGATAGATCCGGTATACGATCAAAGGCAAAGAGTGTATATCCTCTCGAGTATTCGTCATAACCTATATCAATTCCATGATCTTGAAATTGTTTTTCCGTTCCACTAAATACTGTTTCGTAGCTTCGTGCATACAGCTCGGCATCAAAATATGGTTGTAAAGGTCGAGTTGGAATCTGTTTTCCATCCACGTTGATTGCTACGAAACTGATACTTTAATGTTTGAAATTGTACGGATTTTTCTTCCAATAATCCATTAAATGCATCATTATCAACACATCCTAGCTGAAGATGAATTTTAAAACAGGGTCAAAACTTTGTAAACTTCAAACCTACGCTGGGACAGAGATTACTAATCTTACTCTTTCAACGATATCTCAAGGAACAAGACATTCACTTCTTTACTACACATAACGAAACAAAAATATTTATAGTAGAAAGATTTAATCACACTCTTAAAACTTGAATGTGGTGTTACTTCACTCATCGTGGAACTTATAAATATATCACTGTATATATAAACATCTGATCAGTGCCTATAATCAATCGTATTGTTGCGTCATCGAGATCATGTGATTCTCACGCTCTCTACTTTCTAGAATTATCCTGTACTTTGGCGAATGTTCTAGTTCTTACTAGATATAGGGTAGTCGTGTATATAAAAGAGGGGAATGTATTGTAATTGTGTGTGTAGACAGTGAGTAATTGATCTGCAGTCAGAAGTATTATTGAGCACGTTCGTTGTTATAGCGTTTGTTTAGCGCGATTGTTGAAGTTGAGTGTATCGGTAAAGTTATATTCAGAAAGAATAAACCAGTATTTATAAAGAACGA